TAGATAGAATTGCTTTGCTGTAATGTAGAGGGTTTATTTTCAAATGAGGAAAGAGGAAAATGTGCCGAAACTTGTACCTGTAAGTTACATCCTCCATTTCTTTGTTTACTGATGTTGAAATTGATCTATGTAAGTCTTATTCTTTGAGGTATTTAGACAGAAATGCAAGGTTCTTCTCTGTATGGTACCCCATCAAGAGCAGGGACAGACTCTGGCCCCAAACCCAGCTCTTTTGGAACAAGATTTAAAGTTTCTCCTGCAAACACCTTGTCAACAACTTCTTGGGCCTCCAAAGGGGAAAGATGGGAGTCCCAGGCTAGCTCATGCTTACCCACGTTCACAATTGCATGTAAAGGAAGAATTTGCAGAGACTCGAGGGAAAGCACAAAGGGATAAGGCAATCACTTTAGGTGAAAAACTGTTTCTTGAAAAGAGGCTTGGAGAAAAGTGAAAGTTAATCAGATTACTACAAATGCACCAAGGGTTTGTAATCTAGCCTATTCATTTTATGCCCTTTACTATTCATGATATGCTAGACTTCCACCCCATTGTCTGGTAACTTTTTCTGAGGACCGAGTTTCTAAAGCGATGTGGTGCACTCTTCCTATGAGGAGGAAACATCTCGGCTTTATTCTTCAAGCTTTGGAGGTTGATGTGTCTTGTCAAGGGGTAAAAATAGCAAATAAATTGATTTTATTTCTGCTTAGAACTATCATAGTCATTCCAAAATAGAACGTATAAAAATTCTCTGTATTAGAAAAAAAATGAGATGCCAACTGTATATTGTCTTTATTTATTCTCTGTAAGTCTGTCAGGTGATAAATTGTAAATAACAATGATTAAAGAAATATGCTACTGATGGATCCTTTTTTTTTTTTTCTGTGAAAATAGCACTGGTTCTGGGCTTTGTTACCATTACTCCTTATACCCTTACACCCTTTCTGGAGACGCGACGGGATGTGAGGACAGAGCCGAGGGATGTATGTAGTGTGGATGCCTTGTTTGTTGAAGGAAATCCAACAGAGTGTTATTTACATAGGCTTCTGATATATTAATTGACTGGTTATTGAAAGAAAATCATCTTGGCCCCTGGCATATCCAAACCTACTAGAGACTGGTGTATGTTGTTAGATTAGTCCAGTTCTAGAGAACCCAGTCCAGAATTGGGTATCCTTTACTGTTGTGGCTACAAAGCTGTCTTGTTTAATACACAGCAATCCCTTCTAAATCCAAATATGGTCTATCTCAAGACTGCCCACACATACAAAGAGCTACAAAAAACTATGATTAACCAGCACGCAGACTCAGTCTTCATAACAGAGAGTAGGATGGAGCCACCCAAAACAACATATATCTTATCTGGTCCCTGAAGAATACATTCATATTTTTAAAATTCTGAGTAATACTTATTTTTTTCAGTGATGGCCACAATATATAAGCGAAAGGATATAATCCCCCAGAGAACAACCAGAGGTCTCATGAAAACATACTCTAATCCCCCCAGAGTTTCTGGTTTGGTTTCACAATTAAAGGCCAGGAGTTCAAGTATATATGTAATGGCAGTAGGGTTGGAGGTGGAGGAGATAAAAAATAAACAGGAATAGCAGAGATGCTCAAAGAGGTACAATTCTATTCTCAACACCTATTCTCAAAGTTAAAAGGTAGGTATAAGTGATACATTTGGATCCACAGGTGATAAGTCATAGATACATATTATGTGGCTCAGACAGTAAAGAATCTGCCTGCAATGCAGGAGACCCAGGTTTGGTTCCTGGGTCAGGAAGATAGCTTGGAGAAGAGTCGGGAATGGCTACCCACTCCAGTATTCTTGCCTGGAGAATCCAATGAACAGAGAAGCCTGGCAGGCTACAGTCCAGGGGGTCGCAAAGATTGGGCACGACCGAGCAATTAACACTTTCATTTTCATATATTATGCATATATCTGAAAATATAATATAGTACTAAAGACAGAGATTATATCTGCTCTTTAATATTTTATCTAACAACTTAAAAGGTCCTGCATTTTTTTAACTGCTGGTTAAAAACTAGTAAAATCAGTACTAGAAAATGGATTTATCTCCACTTATAATTTTATATTCATTTTGTATTTGAAAAAGAGATGCACATGCATAACATCTTCTGGTCCTTGAGTCCTACAGAACAATAACTTATTATGTATGGGCAGCATATGACCTTTTACTATCTCATGACATTGGTAAAATGCCACTCTCAAAGTAGTTCTCAGCCAGACTGGATGTACAGTGATTTGAAGAAAAGACAGATGAAAGATACCTACAAGAAAAGGTCCCATTGGCAGCTGTTTTTTGCCCCTGTTGCAAACCATAGGCAAGTTAGTTCTAGAGAGGACTGTAAGGACCCAGAACAAAGCTCTATTATGGAGGCTACAGATATCTTTGTTTATTTTTGTCTACCTAAGGACATCAGGAAGATAGCTTGGAGAAGAGTCGGGAATGGCTACCCACTCCAGTATTCTTGCCTGGAGAATCCAATGAACAGAGAAGCCTGGCAGGCTACAGTCCAGGGGGTCGCAAAGATTGGGCACGACCGAGCAATTAACACTTTCATTTTCATATATTATGCATATATCTGAAAATATAATTTAGTACTAAAGACAGAGATTATATCTGCTCTTTAATATTTTATCTAACAACTTAAAAGGTCCTGCATTTTTTTAACTGCTGGTTAAAAACTAGTAAAATCAGTACTAGAAAATGGATTTATCTCCACTTATAATTTTATATTCATTTTGTATTTGAAAAAGAGATGCACATGCATAACATCTTCTGGTCCTTGAGTCCTACAGAACAATAACTTATTATGTATGGGCAGCATATGACCTTTTACTATCTCATGACATTGGTAAAATGCCACTCTCAAAGTAGTTCTCAGCCAGACTGGATGTACAGTGATTTGAAGAAAAGACAGATGAAAGATACCTACAAGAAAAGGTCCCATTGGCAGCTGTTTTTTGCCCCTGTTGCAAACCATAGGCAAGTTAGTTCTAGAGAGGACTGTAAGGACCCAGAACAAAGCTCTATTATGGAGGCTACAGATATCTTTATTTATTTTTGTCTACCTAAGGACAATTTCAGGCATGATACAAGAAACCAGAGATCAGTTTCATAGTGTAAAAACAAATGTATTATGTGAAGAATGAATAAACAGCCAAAGGTAGTGGCTGCATTTACTAGGCTGATCATGGGGCCAAGGTGTGTTACAGATAAACGGCATCATTGGGTAGCATGTTTTCTTCTGGTGTCTCTAGGAAAACAGCCCATGAACAATATAAACTCAAGATGACTAGCTTGAGGTGATAAAAGTCACACTTACTCACCTATAAGCAAAACCATAAGGACTTCTCTGGAGGTCCAATGGCTGAGACTCTGCACTCCCAATGAAGGTGGCCTGGGTTTGATCCTTGGTCAGGGAACTAGATCCCACATGCCACAACTAAGACCCAGTGTAGGTGAATAAATTTCTTTTAAAAGAATTATTAAAAAAATTATGACTATTATTGAGCAGCATCTGACATGTGATGAAATATCTTTAAAATACAAAATTAAGTATCTGTCATCAACAGAGTCTTATTCTCCTGGTCTCTCTGGCACATCCAGCATTTCGGCCTATCTTTCAGAGGCTGCAGAACCTTGAAAGCAGCAACTTTATTTGGAGAAGACCAAGGTTCCCTCACTTGGCTTGGATGGACATCACGATGGAAGGAGAGACTGCTGGTCTTGCTCCAAAGTCTTCAGGCCTTCACTTAAGTCACAGACAGTCCTACACTGGTGGTCATCCTCAGATTGTGATGATACTAAATCCTGAGTCTGGGCCCTCCACTTATTGGCAGGAACGAGGTTTTCATAGGATAGCCATACAACTCTCTCCTATTTATTTCACAAGTCATTTCTGAGCTCTATGCGCTTTCATGCTAAGTTGCTTCAGTCATGTCCGACTCTGCAACCCCATAGTCTGTAGCCTGCCAGGCTCCTCTGTCTATGGGATTATCTAGGCAACAATACTGGAATGGGTTGCCGGGCCCTCCTCCAGGGAACTGAGCTCTGGACGCTTTAAGAGGAGGCTTTGGGTCTAGATTCTAAAGATTGGGGTGTACTGTCAGACCCTATAAAATGGCTGCTCTCTTGGTCTCTAGACATCGCTGCCTACCTGGCCCTGTCTCATCCTTACTATAAGCACATGATGGCCTCCTTCTCCTGAGCTGAAAGTTTAATTGGTGACTACCTGTATGATCAGCCCCGACCCTAGCTAACAATTATTCTAAGACAGAGGGCCAGAATGACTCCAACACGTTTGATCACCAACAAGAAACAGCGGCCCGTGCACAGGTTGCTAACCCAAAGAACTGTGGGAAGACATTTCAGCAGTCTCCCTGGCAATCAAGGAGCCCTTCTGATGTCAAGTCCCCTGTTATCCATAGCCTTCTGCTCCACTGTGTAGTGAACACTGCTGCCTTGTCCTGCCTCCTATTGACCACACACAGTGGGGCCTCATTCCACAACAGTTGCCTCTTACATGTGCGATGTAATAAATCATGGATGTCTCCTTTGCCTCTGGACTCTCTCTTTGGTCTAGCAATTGGGCAGCTACAAAAGTTGCAAGACTGTAAGGGTGCAGCCCAACACCGGAGTTAATTTTACTCCAGAACTTTCAGAAAATATTGTTAAATCATGGTTTCTTTATAATAGTTGCAAGTGGGTTATGGGTAGAAGTTGAGTATCACTCAAAAAAAAAAAAAAGAATACAGGAATTAAATCTTTAATAAGATTTATTTATTTATTTAATAAGATTTATTAATTATTATTAATAAGATTTAAGTAAGATTTATCTAATATTAAACTGATACCAAATTAATCAAAATGTCCAGGTTATTCAAAGCCAATGTAAATGACGTCAGTCTCGTATCTTTCAGAGATCATTGCTGTTTATAAATAATTGAAACTTTGAAAGTGGTTATGAAGTACCTTCCAGAGTTTGATACACGACGTGCAGAATTCCTTACGGTGGACCCAGACTGGTGATGATCACATTGTTACAGCTACTACTGCTGCTAAGTCGCTTCAGTCGTGTCCGACTCTGTGCAACCCCATAGACGGCAGTAGCCCACAATAAATCCAGAGACCTAAAGTAAGCATTAGAAACTTTTATGGCAGTTTGGCAGAGTACTTACATCTGTTGAATTTAATTTTAAAAAATTGGGGTTGTATGCTTCTTGCTTTTTATTTAATTTTTCTAGCAATTTATTTTTATTGATTATTCCAGAAGTACCCATCTGGGGTGGCATGGAAAAACAAAGCGGGTCCTTTATAACAAAGAATAGGAGGTTACAGGACAGGACCCATTACGTCCTATGGAATTCGGAGCTTCTCTGACTCTACACCACATTCCAAGTTTTGAAAATTGGCAATTCATGCATGATTCTCCGTCAAGTTCTTAGTAAAATCAATGTTCATTTCCGCGAAGATCATTTTTTAAAGGAAGAGGAGGAGTTTTGGAACCAGAAGGTTGGGTGTTAAATGGCACAGTGCCTGGACGGAAAACTAACTAATGATCATCTCTAAACTTCACTTCCTAGCCTCAAACCTCTCCTCTAAAATACCGAGCTCTGGTGAAAATATCCGAGGTCTTCCTGCCAAGAAGTGCTAATCAGAGGCGCCAGGGTATTCACCCCGCGTGAGCCGCGAATCCCCTCCCGGAGCGCACGGCTGGGAGAACGCCCCAAACGCGACAAAAGCCGGACGTCAGCGGGGCGGACCCGGGGCGGGACACCTTCTGAGGCCCAGGAGCAGGGACAGCTCGGATTGGCTCGGGCCTCGTGCGACAACGCGGCGCCGCCCCTCGGCCTACCTCACTCCATCCCGGCTCCTGCGCCGTGAGCGGCTGGCAGGCAGCGAGCGACGGAAGAGGGCCCGGCGCGAAATCCGTGACGAGAAAGGGAGGCGGGGCCCCTTGGGCCCTGATTGACGGCCCGGGGGCGTGGCCGAGGCGGGGTTACGGGTCTAAGTGCAGGTGAGAGGCCTTGCTGGGTGCCTGCTTTGGGGCGCGTGGTCACAGGGTGCGCAACCATGCGGACAGTGGTTTTGATCACCGGGGCGAGCAGGTGAGACCTCCTTCGATATAGTGGAGGCGGCGGGGCTGGGGTCCGAGGGAGCAGGAAGTACCAAGCCAGGTGGACCCGCCACCGACCGACCCCAGGAGCCCCTTTCGCTGACCCTGCCTCGGTGGGGTCGCGGGCCGGAGACCCTGTCTGGCTTTTCTCTGGGCTCCCCTATGCGCGAGATACCAGGCCTGTCGGCGTCGTGAGCGGCTCAGTAACGTGCTTTCAATTAAACACGACAGCGAAAATAAAAGGCGAGCGCCACTCAGAGACGTGTCTCGGTGACGATCCTGTCGGTATGCAGAGAAAGTGACTCTACCCATTCAGACCTCGCCCGCTTTCCACTTTTGACTTTCTCATCACTGGTAAATTAGACCAGATCACCATACTTTCTGTACTCTCCCAGTTTTTTTTTTTTTTTTCTATGCTAGACTTCCGCCCCTAGATAAATTGCAGCGTTCAAGAACGTTAGAATACAGGGGCGGGGGAAATGTCTCATGTAACACAGTGCTAGATACCTAGTATAAGTACTCTTCAGAGACTCAGAGAGAAGTAACTTTTCTGTTAAGGCGTGGAAGGAGTGCAAGTAACAATACTGCCGAAGAGTAATTTAGTCTGGGGGCTGGGTATTTGGATTCAGCCTCTGTTTTACTTTTCGTTTGTAATTCAATGAACAGTGTGTGGAGGATGAAACTAACCAAACCATTTTTCTAATTGAGGCGTTTGAGGGGTGGAGGGTGGTGGATTAAGACTGAGGTTATGTTAAACGACATTTAAAATGAGTTCAGCTTTCAGTTATCTAGACATGTCCATGTTAACTAAAACAAACCTGGCAGGTGTCCTGTGATGGGCAGAATTTTAATATGCCCTCACCTGAATAACTGTAACAGCCAGTGTGGTTCTTTCTATGTTGATGTGCTTAAATAAGCCAGGCTTGATTTTGTGTTTGTTCCTTTTACAAATATTGTGATATGTGCAATTGTATATTTATAGAAAAGGCCTATTCTCAAGTGGGGATAAATAAACATAACTATGGTTTATTCATGGTGCAAGGCTCTTTGCCTGGAATCAGCTTTAAAGTCTTGGAAAAAGCCCACTTACCTAGGGTTTCACTGTTATCAGTCAACCTGATCCGACCCCTCTCCCCACCTACTGTGTGGTTTCACAATGCTCTTTCTGAAGGAGGTCATTGACACATGTACTCATCCCTGGGTGGGGAAGATCCCCTAGAGGAGAAAATGGCAATCCTCTCCAGTATTCTTGCCTGGAAAATTCCATAGACAGAGGAACCTCGTAGGCAACAATCCATGGGGTCACCAAGAGTCAGACATGACTGAGTGACTAAGCACGCAGCACGCATTCATCCCTACTTCTCTTTCCTTGTAGCCAGCTTATATTTCCTTTTCCTATCTTCCGCTTAATTATCTTCCTGTTGGTTATTCAGTCTGAGTAGTTGAAAGGGACGTGTCTCTCCTGCCATTTGCTTATTATACCTTACGCTGAAAAAGCTACCCATTCCTTAAATTAGGAATTTCTGGTGCTGCTGGTAGTGGCCATGATACCAGCTGATAGAAGAGCCCTTGCCCCCCCCCCTTTTTTTTTCCAAGCCCTTGCCCCTGAAAAACCCGGACAGCAGAGTAAAACACACACACTGCTAACTGCTGAGATGCTCTTTTTAGCTCTTGCTGGTGATGTACTGAATCATTTTCATGAGTGCCACGATCAGCATAAAATGAAAACCACTGACAGGATAAACTCTGTCTTAAATACTAAAGGACAGTTCTCATTTGCAGTTATTCAGGTCATTGAGCTTTTGCAAAATGAAAGAAACACAAGTTGGACGACATCCTGAGCCAGTGACTTTCAGAGTTAGAGGGTTCCCCACTTCTTTACTTAGTTTTTGAGTGCTTTCTGTCCACCTGGACTCCTCACTGGGGCTCAAGTTGACAAAATCAGTCTTCTGAGCCAGAGAGAAGTTGCCTCTATTTGGCGCCATCTCGTTTAATGCACATTCTGGATCTGAATTGTCCTATCAGTGGCGTGGGCCTAGCTCTCTGCAGGCGGTTGCTGGAAGAAGATGATGCGCTTCACCTGTGCTTGGCGTGCAGGAACATGAGCAAAGCAGAAGCTGTCCGCACCTCTCTGCTGGCCTCCCACCCCGCTGCTGAGGTCTCCATCGTGCAGGTGGATGTCAGCAGCCTGCCGTCGGTGTTCCAGGCCACCAAGGAGCTCAAGCAAAGGTCTGCGTCGTATTAATGGCTTTTTTCTCATGTGATTGTGCAATGCAACAGCTAATAGAATAAGAACAGATGGGAAAATCTATAAAAGAAATAGGTGCAGTGCAAAAAGAAGTTACACTGAAGAAATCTGTATAGTGACATATTGTGCCTCAGTATACCATATTTTCATTCTTAATCATAATCATGACCATTCCATGAAAATTAATTTATGAGCATATTTTGACATGCAGTCAGTTGTAAAGTCTTAGGTTAGTGTAACTCCTTTGATGTTTAAATACATTTTTTGCATCTTTGCTTCACATAAAAAGACTCCATTAAGTATGTAAGGTAGGTATTGACAAGTGAAGAAATTTCCCCAGGCCAGTCACTAAAAATTTGTTCATACCAACAGTAATTGGCATACAATAAACATTTGATAAATGTTTAGTATATGAAGGGCTAGAGTCCTTAGATATATAACTTCTCAAAAAATGGACAATAAATTGCATACAGCTACACAATGCATTTTTCTGGAAAGGTGGGGCATGTTTTTTTTCTTCTAAGAGGAATGAATAATAATTAGTTTAATTAATAAACTATTAATTGCATTTTTGTAATTCAGGCCCGTAATAAGCAAGAGCTTCTTTATTTCCATGGACAGTAAAATGAACTTCAGTATATATAAAGAAAGCCTTCTTGGTAAAAGAATTGGCTGAAGAATAATATATTGTATTTCATTTATGCTTGATAGCCATTTGCATTACTGTGTTTTCTGCTCTAATGGATATCTTGGTGTTCAGATTCTAGCATTGATGGATATCAGTGGCGTGGGCCTAGCTCTCTGCAGGCGGTTGCTGGAAGAAGATGATGCGCTTCACCTGTGCTTGGCGTGCAGGAACATGAGCAAAGCAGAAGCTGTCCGCACCTCTCTGCTGGCCTCCCACCCCGCTGCTGAGGTCTCCATCGTGCAGGTGGATGTCAGCAGCCTGCCGTCGGTGTTCCAGGCCACCAAGGAGCTCAAGCAAAGGTCTGCGTCGTATTAATGGCTTTTTTCTCATGTGATTGTGCAATGCAACAGCTAATAGAATAAGAACAGATGGGAAAATCTATAAAAGAAATAGGTGCAGTGCAAAAAGAAGTTACACTGAAGAAATCTGTATAGTGACATATTGTGCCTCAGTATACCATATTTTCATTCTTAATCATAATCATGACCATTCCATGAAAATTAATTTATGAGCATATTTTGACATGCAGTCAGTTGTAAAGTCTTAGGTTAGTGTAACTCCTTTGATGTTTAAATACATTTTTTGCATCTTTGCTTCACATAAAAAGACTCCATTAAGTATGTAAGGTAGGTATTGACAAGTGAAGAAATTTCCCCAGGCCAGTCACTAAAAATTTGTTCATACCAACAGTAATTGGCATACAATAAACATTTGATAAATGTTTAGTATATGAAGGGCTAGAGTCCTTAGATATATAACTTCTCAAAAAATGGACAATAAATTGCATACAGCTACACAATGCATTTTTCTGGAAAGGTGGGGCATGTTTTTTTTCTTCTAAGAGGAATGAATAATAATTAGTTTAATTAATAAACTATTAATTGCATTTTTGTAATTCAGGCCCGTAATAAGCAAGAGCTTCTTTATTTCCATGGACAGTAAAATGAACTTCAGTATATATAAAGAAAGCCTTCTTGGTAAAAGAATTGGCTGAAGAATAATATATTGTATTTCATTTATGCTTGATAGCCATTTGCATTACTGTGTTTTCTGCTCTAATGGATATCTTGGTGTTCAGATTCTAGCATTGATGGATCAGATTATATAAATTTTACTTATCAAAGAGGAAAGATGTGAATTTTTTTTTTAAAAAAAGCAAAAACCTTTCTAAGACCAGAAGGAGAGTGGGTTTAATAGAGTTGCTGTGGTACCTTATTGGGAGGACTAAGCTGGAAGGAGTATTGATCAGAGAAGATTTGACTTCAAAACCCATTACAGCTCTCCAAATTCTGTTTGAGGCCACCATCAAAAAAAGAATACTCAAGTATTTACCATGGCTAAATAAAAAGTGTTGAGAAAGTAGTACTGATGCCTAAGCTTGCTATGGCCATCTTTTTTGTGCTTTCTGTCCTTCATGGACCTTCTTTATTCTAATTGCTCTAAAAGATAACTAACAATCTTCTTTCTTGATTTTACTTGCAGGTTTCAGAGATTAGACTATGTATATCTAAATGCTGGGATCATGCCTAATCCACAGCTAAATATCAAAGCACTTTTTCGTGGTCTCTTTTCAAGGTAATTTCTATCTTCTAGATTAACTGATTGCAAGGAAGGTGTTTATTTATTTTTTGGCTACTTTTGCCGTCAGTCCATTAAATTGAGGGAATGAATGGGTGTTGGGA